TTCTAAGATAAAATCTGAAATTTTCAAGTCAGACTTCTGACTTTTTGCTCTGTGGCTCTAATCCTCTTCTGTATTTATGTGCCTTTTATGTGTTTATTTTATGACTTCTCTCTTTTTTTGCACTTACCTTGAAGCTGGGGTCCTCTGTACCTGGACTCTGTGTGATGTCTGCTCTGCTGTGGGAATTCTAACACCTTCCTCGCTTTAAAGCGCAGGTGAGAACTGACAGCTCCATCGTATAAAGCTCCCTCCAGCACCTGGTGCATCAGTGACAGCAAGGTTTTCACTTGAAACCTTGGACCATAACCCAATGCATGTTTCTGTACCAGTTAAAAATTAAAGCTTTTTTAAGTCGACATTTTCAGTTTCTGAGAATAACTTTTAATTTTTTTTGTCAGAAAATGACTTTCCTCAGCAGGTTCATCTTTTTGTTGAGCTGCGCAGCTGCAGCTGTTGTGCTTCCCTTTGACCCTCTGGTGAAAAAGTCCAGAATTGAGTTCGACTCGTCTGGCGTTGGACCAGATGAACCTGTTCAGGCCAGAGTCAAGGTTGTGCAGCTGGACCCTCGTTCCTTGGCTCTGTCCGGGTTCTTCAGAAGAGGACTCACCCAGAGAAGAGCCCTTTCCCACAGCACCAGGCTGCCCTTTCCTGCCTTCCTGTCCCGGGGTCGACCTGCTCCGGCCCCAGCTCTGGTGGCCCCTGCAAGTCCGCTACAGAGCCTGCGCACAAGAAGACCCATGGCGGCAGAGCTGAAGAAGCAGCAGGGGCTGCAGATGTGGCAGAAAGTCGTAGATAAAGGAGAGAAGATCTCTCTGCCTGTCAGCCTGAAAGACAGTAAACAAACATGCACTGCAGTGCCTTTCACTCAGGTAAGACCTTTACTCTCCTCTTTCATGCATACAAACGTTGAAAAGAGTGATAATAAGACTGTTTATTCATAAAGCTGCCTCCCTGTTTACCCCAAAACTCAACCCTCGGTCGTCCTCCCAGCATGTGACGGCAGACGGATGCCAAACAGCAGCACTGCACAACAGGCTGTGCTTCGGTCAGTGCAGCTCCCTCTTTGTCCCATCCGGGGGGGAGTTCGTCGAGACGGGGGCCTTCCACCTCCGGGCCCCCTGCTCCCGCTGCGCCCCCTCCAGAGCGCGCACCGTCCCTGTGCTCCTGCGGTGCGGAGCCCAGGTCCGGGAGAAACGAGTGATGGTGGTGGAGGCGTGCAAGTGTGAAACGAACCGAGAGGAGAGGAGCGCCCAGGCCGCTGCTGCCTCACACCTGTAACTGTTCCAAGCTGGGACAGCACGACCACAGGAAACAGAATTAAACGGACAGTTTGGATCTTTTGGGTTCCGCTGAAAGATTATGAACAATCAAAATCTTACCTGTTGAAGATCAGCTCTTTGCACTGACTCAGTTTGAAGACATAGTTTTGATTTCTAAACAGACCGAAGAGTTAACAGCTATGAGTGGAGCCAAGTAAATTAAAAATATTTATACTGTGATACTTTCTCAATTGGTGGTTATTCCAGTGGAAACATTATGAAATTCCTGCTCAGATGTACCAAGCTGCACCACAAGTACCAAGGCTTGCTATTTGTGCTGGCAAATATTGATAGAATCATGAGTAAACAACCCAAAGATGCTTTAAAGTTATGAAATAAGATTTCTGTTTTAGAATATCTGAGCTTGGATTTGTTTTCAGATGAGGTCTTAGCCACACACTGTTTAGCCATTAGCTCTTCAGTTTAATTAATCTATATTTCTCCAAACTGAAGATGTGCAAAAAGCTGTCTACCACAAGTAAGATATTTATTACTCATAAGTTTTCCATACACTTAAACTAATTATTTCTCTAAAGACCGGAATTTGCTTTTAATCAAGATTGTCTTTACTTTTTTAATTGTGTGTGTTACACTGATACCTGTGCTCATATGTGTGTGTAAATGTGTGTTATCTAGATGTGTTCAAGTCTGAAGTTTAACTCAGAGAGAAGTGTTCTGATGGACCATTCCATCATTGATTGTTGACAAATGATCTGTATGTTGGTCATGCATTTATTTATTTCCATCTCTATTTTTGCAACCTAAAACATGATTGGCATCATATAAAGAGAAATAATTCAAACGTCCTCTGTCTCCTATTACCTTTTCAACTAAACTCGCTGATTACTTTCCCACAAATGTCGTCAAGTTTACGAGTGCAATTTAGTTTGCATGCAAAGCTCAAATCAAACCACAAAGAGCATTTGTTTTTTTCTCTTTTATTTATTTTTTTCTTTTCCACGCCCACTCTCATATTCAAACATTCAAGTGTCAGCTCCTATGTTTTATTAAAAAGACACGTTCCTCCGACTTTTAGCACACGGCACTTACGTCTGAAAGCGCTCAAACTGAAGAGCAAACAAGCTATTGAGCGCGGGTACTTAGCGGTAAGCAAACAAAATTGTTTCAGCGTGCACTCCTGAATTATGTATAGGCGCCACCTATTCTCATGCCCGATGTCTTTTCAGAGTGGTTGTGGGAATTTGAAGCTCCTTCACCACAGATGCACTTGAGCAAGCACGCATGTGTGATTATGTGTGTACGAGCTTTTATTTTTCCAGTTAAGGCCCATAAAACCCATTATTCATTTATACCCTGGCACCTGGGTCTGGTAAAGTGAACTCATCCCACACATCCCAACGTACACATTCCCAGAGGAGCATAAAGAAGGAGGCTCTTTACGTTGGCCTTGGCATGCAGTCAAAACGACTGCTTCAGATGGCCATTTGCATTCATTCACGTGGGTTTCTGCATTGCGCTACGGGGGGTTTGCATTGAGTCCTGTGGATTCCATTAGCATGTGATTAGCATCTCGGGTTGATGGCTATATTTTCCAAGATTGATGGGACAAATATTTGCCCAGGTCTTAACTGTGAAGAATTAGGGGAGGGGGAGTGTTTTTAATCAAGCCCTTGTATTTGTCTGATTATGAGTATAGGGATGAGAGCTTAGGAGGCCGTGATCAAGTTGTTTTTCACATCGAATACTTTGCAACGAGTGGGAATGTTTGCAAAACACTGATTTTTGAGGTAAACTAGACAGGTGTTACTGAAGAATGATGTGTTCTTTCAATAATTTAGGGAGAAAACAATGGCATCAAAATTAAATGGGGGAAGATGAAGAGAAGGAGGAGGACGGTTGTTGATTGAACAAACAAGGTGCAGAAGAGAGTGCGCCACTTAGCAAGACAGATGTTAGCCCCCTTCACATTGTGGGATCCGGCGGAGCACTCCTGTGTCATTAAGGATGGCCTGGTTCCCATGGCGAGGGGAGAGGAAGGAGCAAAAGAAGGAGGGCCTTCTGCCAAGTTCAGCGCCTCGGGGATCAGATCAGCGTCGCAGGGTGCTAAGTGGCCTAGTTAGCGCTTTAAAACGCACAATGAGCTGCCTGCTCTTTCACTGTGTGTGTGTGTGTGTGTGTGTGTGTGTGTGTGTGTGTGTGTGTGTGTGTGTGTGTGTGTGTGTGTGTGTGT